GTGGTAACACTTACTTGCGTGGTTTGAGCTTTTCTGTCAGTGAAGTTGTTGCGAGTGGAGGCAGTCTCATCCGCCATAGCTGCTTTATTTGTGGAACGCAGCAGTCTTTGTTTATTATCTAACATATTCTCAGTTGCCTTTCTTGGTGGAGTTGAAGCTACGCTTTTCCTTGGGCGACCACGTTTTCTCTTCTCCTCACCAGGACAGATTTGGTCCAAAAGCTGAAAAATGAATTCAGAGCCTGTTACGGTATATAAGTTCAGCATTGTCTAACCGATCGTATGGTATTTTGTACTATTTCGTCATCATTATCATCTCGCTTACTTGTACTGCCACCTCGTACACCTTCATCAACAACGATATGCTGAACGGCAGTGGAGCTCTCCTAAATACCCGTTTGATGTTACAATCAAGAGTAACTCAGAACAGTCATAGTGAGGGGAAGAAGAGGGAAATGTGTAGGAACTGGAGATCGTTGAAAAACTATTAGCAAAAGTAATCAGCGTTTTGGATACTAGTTATGCTTTCGGGGTTTTATCACCCTGCAGCAATAAACAAAATTATTTAAAAAGAAACTGAGAGATAGTAGAGCTTTGAACATTCTCTAGGCGAAACGAGCTAAGCTAGAAAAGAGCTGCCTTCTAAACCGCAGATACTGTACTATTGCTAACGCCTACAGTATTTAAAGCAAAAAAAATTTTGCTATAGAATATTAAATCCTTTGATTGAACCTACGACTGATAAACAGAAAGTTGAAACAAAGTTGTTCATAGCCTTCGGCGAACAAATTTCAACCTTGTCAATTCCACAGAAATAACAGTATCAAAGAAAAGATAATCCTACAATGATTATTATGATAAAGCGCGCATGTGTGTGCGTGTTTCTCCATTTGTCACGATTTTGGTTCATTTGGTAAACGGCAAAGAGCAGTTATCAAGCGTATTAACGGCAGAACAGTAAGTGGACATGAGCGGTTGTGGAAGGGATAAGTTGGTTTTCATTTCATTCCAACGGACGGACTCTGCGGTCGGGATAAATAGTTTCCGCACTCTTCTCTTTCAAGAAGGTGTTGAAAGATAAAATCAGAAGCTCAGTAATTCCAGCAGAGATGCACATATACGATGATTTTTGGATT